GCCCCTTTTCCCCCCTGATCTAAATGTGTGCAAACGGGAAGCTACAGCCTCATCAGACAATTGGGCAACTTCTCATACTTCAGCAGTTTTCTTCTAAGCGGAGTTCAATTTGTGGTGTATAGGCTGACCTTTAGGATTCCAGCACTGGATCAAGAATGCAGGATCAAGTATTGTTATTTGCTCTCTCTCTCTCTCTCTCTCTCTCTCTATATATATATATATATATATATAGTTATTTGCTCGACAACTATATATATATATATATAGTTGTCGAGATATGTACATTTTTCTTAACAAACTTGTCATGCAATCAACAAAATGTTTACTGTTATTATTAATATTTTATTAGTAGTAATATTTAGTATTATTAATAGCATTCAATGACAATAACAGAGTGTGTCTGACTCTCTTATCCCTGTGTCTTTTTAGTGCATGTTCAGATAAGGAGAAATTGTGATACAAGGTATAAAACCAGACAAAAAAAGATACCATAGGAATCATAATGTATACCTACAGGCCTATAGAGTGCATGTCTGATCTCATTTGATAACCATTAAACTGTATTTAGTCCATTTGACAATAAAACTTAATGGCATACTTAATGGCTTAACCAAACTCTCTAAGGAATGTTTCCAGCACCTTGCTGAATCTATGCCATGGAGAAGAAGAAAGGCAGTTCTGAAGGCAAAAGGGGGTCCGACCCCATACTAGCTACTAGGTGTACCTAATAAAGTGAGCACTGAGTGCACAGTATGTCATGATAACAACCCAGCTCAACAAAAAAAATGCAGTTTAAACATCCGGAGAAATGAGGATAAGGGAAAGAAAAGTTGCGAAAGAAAAAAGGGGGAAAAACAATCGAGAGAGAGAGAGAGAAGTGAGATCATAAGTTTTAGCTGAGAAATCTATCAAAACTGGTGTGCCATAAGGAAAACTAATATACAGTATTGGATGAGTCAGGACTGCGAATAACAGCAAACAGAAATAGAGACACTGCTGGAAAAATAGAAAAGAGGAAGAACAACTGGAACAATATCAAGAGGGAAGTTAATATCAAAAGTGTATTTATGACATTTTGTTTACATCGTAACATGCTATGCAAATGCATGGCTTTGCCTGCATTAAATGCACTTGTAATATATTATGTGTAAATATATATGGTATGCGTTACATCTTAATGATGTATTCATGCATACAAAGTCATTTGAGTCATATATAAACCTCCATAAACATTGTGAGCCACAGTGTGGGTCTCTGTCAGTTGAGAATTACCCCCTCCTACGGGTCACCGCGAAACAACAAGAAATGACAAATTGTACACCACTGCTCCGCCTCCACCCATGTGGTTTTCGCCCTACTTCTCTGTTTTTGAATAAATCATATGTATAATGAATACAAAAGTATTCCCCCCTCCAGTTGGCACAGAGGATCACTCAAGGAATTACCAGGAAGAGTCATGATGGGGTTTGTTACTTCCTTGATGAACATGCATATGGCCAAACAACGAAAATCACCCACTACTTCTTCTATACATTGGGTTTCAAAAGTCTGAAATCATATTAAAAATCTGGAACTCAAAATGTAGCAAATTTGGATTTTTTTTCCCCTTTAAAAATGTGAAACAAAGACAATACGATGTAAAACGATAAATAAATATTTATTTTTCTGATCCTGCACTATTTCTAACTTGCAACATTGATCATGAACTGCTTTTCAAATAGTCAAAATGCTCTTTAAATCATCTAAAATAATGCTGGATCATTACATGATCACCAGGTTTTACACAAAATTCACAATTGCGTGCAAATTGAATGTAACTATCTCGGACACTTACATGTTATTTACAATTCAATGAAAATGAATGTAGAGAGCAAACTATCAAATGCAGTTAGTTAACTTAAGAGTGCTTTTTTGACATCTTTATATGTAATTTCAGAAAGATTTAGTGCACATAATATTAACTTTAAATGTAATATCAAATAACACACTACAATTCAAATAATCAAGTACTTGTGCTTTGTTAGTCAACACATTAAAATAACTACTTTTTTAAAGCATGGCAAAATACTCTAATATAAAAAGTTTAATTTTACATTATTACAAAGTGCACTTTAAAAGTGGACACTCTTAATGTACACTTAAGTGGCCATTTATTTAATTCATATTATATTACCTGCAACTACAGTTTTTTCATATACTTTCAAGTATTCTTCAAGAGCACATTTGACACAATTAAGCTCACTTCTTTTTCATAAGGGCATGCAACTCTAGTGCTGTTGCCAATAACACGAAAGGGAGACAAACCAAATAGTAAGACATTCTTAAAAATCATGTATTTTTTCAATTTGAATTTTCTGCTGATTATATAATGTACATAATATATTAAATTGTACTTTAAATTAAATAGGTAACATGCATTGGCTCTCTATAATTACCTCTATAATTATGTGAACATGCGTATGTATGTTCCTAAATAAGAAGTTTTTATCTCTGACAACATCACTTGAGAGAGAGTGAGAGAAAAGAGTGACGGAGAGAAAGAGAGACAGAGAGAGAGAGAGAGAGAGAGCGCGCAATGGAGAAAGGAAGTGTTGCTCAACTCAAAACTTCTGGTGTGAAAAACATGAAGCGAGACGCTCATGTGGTGCAACAGCGGTTTTGCATCACCAAATAAACCTCACCATCTTTACTCACTGTAAACTATACATGTCAACTTACATACTAGTTGTGGTCTGCATGTGTGGCATCTTCTGTTAAACAATGGGCATATGATTACCTCAAAATCCAGTGACACTGTGATGCATGTTTAAACTTCATGTCTTCACAGCCAGTGAAATCGCCAGTGTCGTTAGAATGGATATTCCCTCAAAAAGAAGAGACAACGAAAAAAATGTTTTGTAGTATTCGGATATCCCAGGTTAGACAGACTGAAAGAAAGTAAATTCAATAAACACTGGGAATGTACAAGAACAATCCAGAGTGTTTCCTTTTAAAACTTTTGTAAAGTTAAATATATTTTAGTTGTTGCTCAAAGCCACATGCTAGGACTGAATTTCTCTTATCATGTTTACCTGCTGTTTTTGACTTGCAGGTCAGAAATGTTTTGAATAACTGTAAAAAAAACTATTTAAAAAAACATTTATTTACACTATTATTAAACTTCTTTTGATTTCCACAAGCAGCAGGAACTGCAGAAAAACATAAAAGAAGAAAATTCCAGTTTGTTCAGCAATATTTCAGCCACAACATGAAAACCACAGACAGGTGATGTGAATAGTATTGATTATATTGTTACAATGGCACCTGTTAAGGGGTGGGAAATATTATGCAGCAAGTGAACAGTTAGTTCTTGAATTCTCATGTGTTGGAAGCAGGAAAAATGGGCATGCAAAAAGACCTGAGTGACTTGAAAAAGGGCCGAATTGTGATGGCTCTACGACTGGGTCAGAGCATCTCCAAAACAGCAAGTTTTCCCTTTCCTGGTATGCAGTGATTAATACGTACCAAAAGACAACCTGCGAACTGGCTCCAGGGTCACGGGCATTCTGCTGTGCAACATAGGTCCTTGCATTCATGTGGATATTACTTTGACACATACCACCTACCTGCACGTCCACCCCTTCATGACAAAGGTGTTTCCCTGATGGCAGTGGCCTCTTTCCGCAGGATAATGCACCCTGTCAGAAATTGTGCAGGAATGGTTTCAGGAACAGTTCAAAAATTCTGTTCCAAATTCCCAATCTGACCATGCATCTACACTCTTAAAAATTCAAGCGATGCCATAGAAGAACCATTTTTGGTTCCACAAAGAAGCATTCAGTCAAAGGTTCTTTAAAGAACCATCTCTTTCTTACCTTTTTATAATCTGAAGAACCTTCTTTTGCCACAAAGAACCTTTTGTGAAACAGAAAGGTTCTTCAGATGGTTAAAGGTTCTTTATGGAACCATTTAGAAAAAAAAGGTTATTCTATGGCATCGTGAAGCACCTTTATTTTTAAGAGTGTATGGGATGTTCTGGACTAACAAATCCGATCCATGGAGGCCCCAACGGGATAAAAGATGTGCTAACTGCAAATAAATGTACAGGGGATATAGGGGAACAATGCATTAGTTCTAGAGCAAGTGAAACCATGATTTTTCTGTGTTTTTAATACAGATGTTTCGAATTTACAGATATTGTGGTCTCCATTTTAAGAAGGTACTTTTTTTGAATTTACGGCCCAGCTGGTCATGGGGCAAAACAGAAATTTCATTTTCTTGTAGAAATCATCTGTTGAGTAAGACAGCGTCAGAGAGAGACAGAGACTAGATCATGCAAGGAAGCGTGGGAGGGTCTTCCCCATAGGGACTGTCGTGCGAGTTTCCATGTCTTCGTCGGTTGTAAAATGTAATGCAACTACAACCTTCATATTAATTTATGCTTTATTATACTTTCATCATTTATTTATACTTTATTTTAACATGTTGACAAAAAAAAAATCTGCTACGTGTTTGAAAACACTCCCTGCTGTCAGATATACAATTCTATACATTTTCTTGTTCACATTCTATCAGTTGCATCTATACATCCTAATTTAGAATATCTTTTTGTCTCTTTTAACATTTTGATGTTTCCTTGATGTTTCATACTGGTAAAAATGTCTTTGGATAAAAGCGTCTGCTAAATCTAAATTATTAAATTATTATTATTATTATACCTTAATCACTTTTTTATTTAGTTTTTGTCAGTGTCTCTATATTTGTTCGTTTTTTGTTTAGTCAGTTAACCTGCCATTTCGTTGTAAAGAAGTAGAAGTCATCTCTGGAAAAAAAATATATAAAGAAACTATACTTTATATTGAACTATACAGCCTATACATGAAAACATGAAAATACAGTACAATCTTAAAGATTGTAACCTACTTCTTGGAATTGTTTGACTAGCTATACGCGTGCTGAAAAAGAAGAACAACTGGTATTCCCAAAAGAGCGAAACCGAAACGTTAAGAAGCGAATATAAGATGATATCTCCAGTGCACCATCATCTCAAATCACAGCTGGCGACTGAGCAATCAAGTGCTGGTTTTCAAACCGAGGTAAGAGACGATATCATTTGAACTTTCTTATTACAGCATCACTTACTAGACGGAAAAAATATAGGCTATCTTTGTTATTATTATGTAATAAAATTCCAAATGTGTACGGTCTCTTGTTTAGCCCACGTATCAGATTCAAAGTGCCTTAACTGTATTGTTCTGTGAAAAGAACTACTGAGACTACTGGCTGATCTCTGACGTGAGATTTGATCGATAAAAACGTTGGCGAATAAAACTGATAAACCGTGTGTCTTATTATACATCATTGTATCTGCATAATATTGAAGGTACCACTACTTTGAATGATCTAACAGTTTCGCTTTACATTCTCCCAGATGTTTCGGCGGTGTCTGTCTCCTCTTTGCATCCTCATCCTCATCCTCACCTGTATGGTGTCCACAAACTCCTCTTCCCCTCTTGGCCACAGGGGGGCGCTGTCCTTCTCCAATTCATTGCGCCTCACACGCACTATTCGCGCAGGCGTCCAACAACTGCTGTCCCGCTACGTAAGAAAACTAAATGCTAGTTGCATAAAAAAGCCGAAACATATTAACGACAAAACGATATGTATTGTCACATTTTTCCACTTTGTATCTAAATATTCACACCATGCGGTTTTGTTTTCACAGAAACAACAGCTGTTTGGTGACGAGCTCTTTGAATACAGAGAGCTGATGCTGAGTTCACTTCCTGCGGTGACGGTCAGTTATCAGAGCTGGCTACACATGCAGGTGCGCATCAAAGCTTTATCACGTCTTTAGTTCGTTATTTTACTGCACGGGGATATATTTTAACAGCATGTGTGTTTGGTGGTTCAGGACACAGAGCGTTTGCGTTTGGCCTCTCACAACCTCCAAACCTTCTGGACTCACCTGGAAGTTCTACGGCAGCAGCTGGAGAGAGAGAGGGATGCGACGAAGGAAAGAAGAGAGCAGAGAAGAGGCAAACGAGGAAAGCCCCAGCCCACCTTGCGCCAAAGATTTGTTAGTCTGCAAATAGACCTGCGGGACCTAATAAAACAAGTCAACTCTCAGGTACAAGTGCACACTTGTTAGATGCGTAATCACTTCCCAGCCATCAGTAGCTAATTTAGTGATCTCATAGACACAATGTCACAACGACTCCCATGACCCCCGGCCCTTTTAGTTGCAAAACGAGGGTGCTCTTGCCAGAATATCTCTAAAAATCCCAAGGGGATTTTTTTTAGTGTATATAGAAACTGTTTGTGATATATTTATATGATATCTAAGAATAACAATAAAGACTTTGGCATGTAGCCTAGTGTTTTAGTCATATTTGTCTGATCTTGTGACCTCTGTGTGATCATTTTCTTACTGGTAGAGCAAATAAATTCCACTTCTTTATTCTAGTTTTTTTTAGACTTCTAAATAATAGTATTACATTGGAATATTATAATAATATTATTACATTATTGCAACAATTATGTAATATTCTAAAGCCAGGGTTACAGCCACATGTTTGAAGATCAGATATGAAAAACATTAAGAATTTTCTTGAAATTTTTTATATATATATATACCAAGTAGTAACGTGTTACCAAGAAAATCTTACAGATTACTAATGTTCGCTCTCTATCTGCAGTTGAACAGTCTGAGTATCACTGCATCTACAAAATCCCCACTTCTCCATCCCCTGCACGCAACTTCATCTTCCGGTCCGATTCCCAGCATGCATCATTCCACAGAGAGCACCACTGTACTCCAGACCCCAACTCGGACGGATAATCCTCGCAGCTCTGCACACTTCTCTACACAATCTTCTACTTCAGTGATGGAGAAGACCTCTGTCAGCCTCCCACAACCCACCCTGGCATCAGCAGGCTTTATTTTTACGGGAGGATCTGTGGACACACAGCAGACAACAACAGCAGAGACGTCCCGCTGGATTCAGCATCTGAGAGGGTATGTGATACTGAGAGATCTGGAACGGTACTTGAGCAGATTGGCACGAGATTACGCTGTGCTCCAAGCCAAATACTGACAAACACGCAAGTAAATCAACAAAGGCAGAAAAAAAACAAGAAAAAAGAACAAAACCAAGTATTGCACAAGTATTACACAGAATTAAATTATAAAACAAAACCAAGAAAAGACATAATTTAATACACTAACATTCATATCCATAAACATTTTCAGGTCAGTTTCTGTTTACCTTGTTCTTTAATTATTTTATTTATGAAAATAATTTATTGCTATTTTTTTATTTACTGTTTGTTTACAATTGAACAGATACTTGCCTTAATGTGTGAAGACTTTTTTTTAACTGCATTTCTGTATTTTATATTTAAGTATTTCGAGTATTTTCAATGTATTTGATAAGTCTCAGGGGTTGAGTACATCAGCAGGCAGCTAGTGTGGGTTATCATGAGATTGCCAAATAGTGTTATTGGACCATTAAGTATTTTTAGATAATACAATTGTTATACTTGAATGTATATGGCTCTGTTTGAAGGGTGAGTGTTTAACAAACAGCAAGTTATTTTTTTATACTGGACTATTTAACTGAAAAAAAAGGTTAGTCAGTCATTCTGGAAGACCAAAATTCCCCAAACACCCCACTTCCCTCCTCCAATAATATTCAGCAAATCAGAGGTCAGAATGAGATCAATTTTACATCTCCTTTTCGTTGTCATTCCCCTGTACTTTCCACCTTGTGTTATTTATTAAATTATTTATTTTATTTATGTGCCTAATATTTTTCATACGATATTTATTGTTCATAAATAAGTGCAAAAGTGAAATATATGTTTGTTTTGTACAAGTGTGTGTGCTGAATAAAATGACTAAGAAGCACTTCTAGTGCATGTGTATTTATGAGTTTTTTTGTTTGTTTTTTACATACAACAGACAGTAAGTGAAGCAGGGGAGTAGATTACGCGGGGGATGTGTCACTTTTAATATCACATAAATTCGTCCCCCGCAATTTTTCGGGCAAGTGTGTTCGCATAGAGGTTTTCAAGAGCCGGTGTGAATAAATATAGATTTAAATTCAAAGAGACAGGATAGTCTGTGCATGATCTGATGTTTTATTCGGACCCAGAATAAGGCGAGATGAACATCACTGAGCGCAAAACATTCCGTGCAGTGTGTGTTTCATTCACACTCGAAGCCAGAGGGAAAAGAAAGTCTACGAGGAAATTCCCAATACGGACAAAAGCTATCCTGTATGAAAACAGTTGTTTTCAGAAAAACAGGATATTCTGATTTGATGCTCAAAAAACATTAATAATAAGAATAATAATAATGAAAAAAGGTTTCTTGAGTAGCAAATCAGCATATTAGAATGATTTCTGAAGGATGTGACACTGACTGGAGGAATGATACTGAAAATACAGCTTTGAGCACAGCAATCATTTTAAAATATATTCAAATAGAAAGCAGTTATTTTAAATAGTAAAAATATTTCACAACATTACTGTTTTTGCTGTACTTTGGATCAAATAAATGCAGGCCTGGTGAGCAGAAGAGACTTCTTTATAAAACATTAAAAAGTCTTACTGTTCAAAAACTGTTGACTGGTAGGTTATATAGATTACAGAAATGTTATGTTTGACATTTCTGTCCCCCTCGCTTCTGCAATGATGGCTACGCCCCTGAAGTGAAGTCATACAGAACACTTGAAATGTTGTGACTGATCGGTTTCAAAACACTGCCAGAAGGAGCAGTTTTTGGCATCAGTTTTTTTGGCAAGTTTTAGAGATTTAATAAAGCAAACCAAAAATAATGCGTCATTTTTATTCAGTTATAAAACATTGCGCTGACAAAGAGTAGTGGTGTTATTTGGAAAGTACTATGCTTTTGTATTTAAATTTTAAAAGATTATGTAGTTAATAAGAATTCTCAAAAAAAAAACTCATAGCATATCTGCATAGTAAAGCTTGAATTATTAACATAATTGAAAAACAAAGATTCATTTAATTGGTCAGATGAGAGAAAATATAAAATAAACTCATCAAAGCATAAGCAAAATTTAGTTCAAAAAAGAAAAGATTACAAATGTCCTTTAATATACACTTGCTAACATACTAAAATGTGCTTTTGGAGTAAGACTGAAATTAATCATAAAAGTGTAGTCTGGCTCTGTGTAGTGATTGGCTAAAGCACTCCTGTGAAATGATCTGGTGAGCTGTCATTGGCTGTTCATGAGATTCGTGGGGTGGTCTGGAAAAGAGGGACCAGAGTAATCAGTTTCCTTGCAAACAACATTTGCTAAATAATCCATCTTATTATTATATTTTATTACTTTTTTTATCCTGAAATTCCAGTACCAACCATTTTTTTCTACCGTTGTTGTCTCTCTTCCCTTCTAACCAAAACCAGTGCATTTTTCAGCCTTGTATTTCTTTATCAGTAAATGTGTGAGCCTCACCACAGACAGGTGTCCATTCTTGGTCTTGACCACTCGCAGGTCCGAACCACTGGAGAAATCTAGCACTCCCTCCTTTCCCCTTGCTACGGCAAACCTGATACTGGAGAGTATAGCATAACCAGATTGAAAGCTGTAAACATGCATACATATACGTGCTGTAAACTAAAGTTCTCATGCCTTTCTAGAGAACATCGGCAGCACTCCCGAACACAGTTTGTCTATTAATGGATTTACCATTCTGCACGCACACAAACACACACACCTGTCCTGGCTGATGTTGACATTGTGTATCTTGTCTGCCATGATGGCCAGCTTGGTGACAGCCTCAATCACATGATCGCATTGCAGCACCAGGTCACCCTAAAGGTCAGAAGGTCAAAGTGAATCAACAGATGTCCAACTGCACAACCAAGACAATCACAAAGCATAACAGGGCTTCTCTCACCTTCTGCTTACTGTCAGTGGTGGGAATATGCAAAACAAAGAATCCATCACTGAGGGAACTAACAGAGATACCTACAAAAAGAAACAAACCGAGATTGTATGGTATTGTGAAGTGTTACCCAGTAAGAGGTTAATTGCACACTAGTTGTTTGTCACTGATGAGAATTTATGGTTTGAGTACTAGGGAAGAGTATGATTACCCAAGAATTAGATACGGTGAAAAACAGGAGTATGAAACTTTAATAAGCATGGATGTCGTACAGTATTGTTAGGCAACAAAGGAGAGAGCTGTATTACAGTAACATTACCCAGCAATGTGCCGTAGTCGATACGTTGTTTGATTTTTGCTTCCTGGACCAGCACAGCAGATGAAGTGGTCAACAGCAGCTGACGCATACGTGCGCGGAAACCGTGCCGATCGTACTTAGTGACCGCTACACCATACTGAAAAAGAAAACAATATACAAATAGATTCTCAACCCCTCTAATATTAACCTTAAAAAATCTCTATTAAGATAAGTATTAGATTAGATTGATTTTGTTTTTTATTGTATTTTACTTAATAAGACTGGTTTACTGGCTCCTTTGGATAAATACTTGCCATATTTTTGTGGTAAGGTGATTCTGTAGGAGCCATTTATATATTTTTTTTTTGGGGGGGGTCCATATTGTCTAATGTTTTTTTTTTCTGGAGGCTGAGTGCGCCCTCTACAGGAGAAACAGGATGAAGCCTCAAGTGTTGAGATGGCACCTGAGTGTTCAGCTGGGAGCACATAGTCTTTAGACCTTTTTTAAGTTGTGCTTTTTCATTTACAGTTCAAAATGTCTTTGCAGTTTATATTGTAGTTTATTTCAAATACTGTAACATTCAAAATTAATAAACAAACAACTTAACCTCATTCATTGTGGACTTTAATGAATACTACATGGAACCATGTGACCAAACAAAAAATCTAAAAGCATCTAGTACATTTACATGGAATACATACAAACATTAAGCTATAATTTCACACGAATCATAAAAACACATTTACCTTCACCTTGTTGTCAGTCCCAAGAGTTTGCAGCACTTTGAGATTGATCTCTTCGGTCTCTGTGGTAATAAAAATGTGTCAGTGAGTTTCTATATTTGTTTGTCTATGTATTTGTGTTTTTCAGCATAGATATTTCATCATGTGTTTGTGTATGAATATTACCTAGTCTGGTGGCTACGAAGAGTTTGGGAACACTTCTAGGGTAGCAGTCCTTCTGACCACTAAAGATCGCACTGGCTACAACCTTCTGTTCCAACTGCAGACAGCGTGAAATCAGTTATGGTTGTCCATGTATGTGTGTATTTACTCTAGTATGAATGCAGTACCTGCTTCTTCCACTCTGGCTGGATTCTCCTGCAGTAGTCATTGACCAGGTTGCGAATGCACATTCTGTGAAGGTGCTCAGATGCCTGTGGGGAAAAACAAAGTTGTACATACACAACCATTCAAAAGTTTGGGGTCTTTTTGGGGACAGTTTTTGAAGGAAGTCTTTAATACTCAGCAAGGCTGCATTTATTTGATCAAAGATGCAATAAAAAAGAAAGGAAAGTTTGTGACATGTGGCCAAGTTTGGTGTCCCACACTTGGAATTTGTGCTCTGCATTTCACCCATCCAAGTGCACACACACACAGCACTGAGTAGTGAACAAACAAAACAATTATGCTGCAGCGCCCAGGGAGCAGTTGGGGGTTCGGTGCCTTGCTCAAGGGTCTCACCCCAGTCTTGGTATTACCTACTATTCCGGCCAGTACCAAGACTCGAACCTGCGACCTTTGGATTACAAATCCTACTCTCTAACCATTAGGCCACAACTGCCCAAGTAATATTGTAAAAACAATTTTGTTTTTATTTAATATATATATTTTTAACACAATTTTTTTATGGTCTTTTTATGCCTTTTATTTAGATAGGACAGTAGAGAGACGACAGGAAAGTCCTGGGAGTAGAGAGGGGAGCGGCAAAGGACCTCAAGACTGGAATCAAACTTGGGTCACCATGAACGCAGTTGCGCTATATGTCGACGCACTAACCACTAAATAACGCACTAACCAATATATTTTCAAATATAATTTATTGGTAACACTTTACAATAAGGTTCATTAGTTAAACATTAGTTAATATATTAACTAACATGAACTAACCATGAGCAATACATT